TGGGATCGAGCCCTGCGTTGGGCTCTCTGCTCAGTGGGGAGTCTGCTTCTCTTTCTCTCAAATAAATAAAATCTTTAAAAAAAAAAATAGTGCATTGGGGTGCCTGGCTGGCTCAGATGGTTAAGCATCTGCCTTCGGCTCAGGTCATGATCCCGGGGTCCTGGGATCGAGCCCCACATCGGGCTCCTGGCTCAGTGGGGAGCCTGCTTGTCCCTCTCCCTCTGCCTCTCCCCCTGCTCATGCTCTCTCTGTGTGTGTGTATCTCTGTGTCTCAAATGAATAAATAAAACTCTTAAAGTAAGATTTTTTAAAAGATTTTTATTTATTTATTGAGAAAGAGAGAGAATGGCAGAGAGACAGCATGAGAGGGAGGAAGGTCAGAGGGAGATGCAGACTCCCCGCTAAGCAGGGAGCCCGATGCGGGACTCGATCCTGGGACTCCAGGATCATGACCTGAGCCGAAGGCAGTCGCTTAACCAACTGAGCCACCCAGGCACCCTAAATAAAAATCTTTAAAAAAAATAGTGCATCATTCCTGTCTACGGCTGGGTAATATCGCATGACATGGGCGCACACATTTTATCTACCCATTCCTTCAATGATGGACATTTGGGTTGTTTCACTTTTGGGCTTTTATGAAGCAGGCTGCTATGAACATTTGTGTGCAAATTTTTGCAGGAATTTATGCTTTCAATTCCCTTGGGTACATACCCAGGGGTGGACCTGCTAGATCACATGGTAGCTCATTTTGAGGAACTGCCAAACTCTTTCCCAAAGTGGCTGTACCATTTTGTAAACCCAACAGCAGCCTGCGAAGGCCCCAACTTCTCCACGTCTTTACCAACACTGCTACTGTCTTTTTCACTTTCGTTATCCTGGTGAGTGTGAAATAGTATCTCTACATGGTTCTGTGTGCCAAGCCTGGGGTGACTTGTGGGGAACAGGGTGGAGAAGGAGCCATCTTCTTTGCCATCAGGAGAGTCACAGCTCAGGGGTGACTGGCTGGCTCAGTCGGTGGAGCATGCGACTCTTGATCTCAGGGTTGTGAGTTCACGTTCCAAGTTGGGCATGGAGCCTACTTAAATAATTTTTTTTTTTTTTTTTTATAAAAAGAAGAATCACAGCTTGGAGTGGAAGAGATAGACACAAGTTTCATTCACACACTTATTAGTATGTATCAGGCTATGAGTGGGCTAGGCATCATGGCCAACACCAGAATAGGTAAAATACGGTCTCCATTCTAACTGATTCTTTCAATGAAGAATACAAAGCCTTCATCAGCAGCCCATCCACCCAGCCATCTATCTACCTCCAATCATCTCTCTGTCTATCTATAGACCCATCTATCCAATCCTCCACCCACCCAACAACCAAATATTTGACCAGCAGTCCATCAGAACATCTACCTATTTATCTCTCCATCCATCCAGCTACCCATTTACCCACCCAGTCATCCTCCACCTGTCTATGCATCCATCTACCAACTATTTAACCACTAGCCTATCAAATCATCTACCCATCCTTCCATCCAGTCAGCTGCCTATCTATCCATCCATTCATCCATCCATCCACCCATCCACCCATGTCTGTCAACCACTGATCCACATGGACATGCTAGGTACTGGAGCTGGAGCTCCAGCTTGGCTAAGTTGGACTGGGCAAGTCAAGGGCATCAAAATGAATACCCTCGTATGTTGTTAACTGAACACAGGTGAGGAAGGATTTCCAAGCCAGGCTTTCTCCACCTAGATACAAAAGCTTTGCTTCTTGATGGAAAACACTTTTATCCACTATACTCTGACCAGTTAATGCCCCCACTACTTTGGCTTATACTTTGGGGCACACATTTCTCCCACTTCCCACCTTCTTAGATGGTCATTTGGACATAGGATCATTCGTCACACGTGGCATCCACCATTTTTTGAGCCCTTCCTATGTGCCAGGAACCTGCTAGGTCTTTTACTTAATTTTCACAAAGGTACCAGGAGGCCTAGGTCAACCGCCATTTTCCAGATAAGGAAACTGGGGCTCAGAGAGGTGAAATACCTTGCTGAGGGCCACATAGTAAGCACACAGGGAAATCCCGGCCTGTAGGCCTTCTATAAGATCTTGCAGAAAATGCTAGAATTCCTGCATCTGAAGGATGTTTGCAGTGCTGCCTGGGATGTAGTACCCTTCTGGCCTCCAGGAGGAGGCGAGACCCTGAGGGCAGACAGGAAGGTTGCAGGCTGGGGAAGGCTGAAGCTTCAAGTGGTCAACTTGAGCGGTCACAAGGAGCCCTTCCCACCCTTGACCACTTGGCCGGTGTCCGCTCACTTCTGAATCCTGACCCGTACTCAGATCCTCAGCCATGCTCAGGGCTGGGGGCTGCTCCCTCTGCCTGCTGGCCACCCTTCCCTTCAGGTGGTCACTCCCACCATTTCTCTGGTCTTGGCTCCCACGCCACATTCTCAGACCCCGTCACAGCAAGGGCTCATTCTCTTCCCTCTCAATAGCCTATTCTCCTCCATAGTCATTCTGAGCTTGCTGAATGTGCATCCCCCACTGGCTGGAAGGTTCCAGGAGGCAGGGACTGGTTCCTAACACCCGGGAAGGCACATAGTAGGTACTCCATGATGCTTGTTGAAGATACAGCCCCTCTGAAATTTTCTCTGGCCTCTCGCCACCCTTACCCTCTCCAGGGGCTACTGACTTCTGCCTCCCTCCTGAGGGCCTCTACCTAACATACTCTGCTGGATGCCAGTGCCTGGAACATTCCACATTCACAGTTGATCCCTGCCGGGGTCCCAGCGCTCAGCCAGGGCTGAGCACGGGTTAAACCTCAGTGGGCAATGCCTAAAAGGCTGCCCCATCCTCTCTTCTCTTCCATGAAGCCCCCCTGTTGTCTGGGCCAGTGCTCCCAAGCACCTGGAGACTGTCTGTGGCCCTTTCCTGAGTTCGATGTGCCTGGTACCAGGACCCTCAGGACAGACCCGGTCTGTATAGCCCCTGAGGCTCAGTCCCAGCTGGCCTCAGATGTTTGTTAAAGGAATACATGAATGGGTGGCCACTCGTGTGGCTGAGCAGGGCCAGAGCCACCAGCTCGGGTGGCAGGTGTCTGGTGGGATCTGTTTCCCTCAGACAAAGGCTGGTGCGGGGAGCAGGTGAATAAATCATGAGGGGCCTGGAGCAGAGCTGGGGCAGGACAACTGACCTCATTGTGGGAGGTGAAGACCAGGCAGCTGGGCAGGAAGAAGGCTGGGGGCATAACAAAGGGGCACGAGAGGCCAGTGGGGGCCTCCTGGCCCAGCCCCACATCTTGCCCTGAGGAGCGAGAGCTTGGAGGTCAGCAGAAGGTAGGTGGGAGGTGCCGGCAGAAGGTGGGGGGGCGGTCAGAGCTGCCCGGGGGCCCTGGGTGGGGAGAAGGGGGCATGTCTGGGGGCAGGCTCCAGTTGGGGGGGGGCTGTCTTTCCAGAACCCAGGGGTCATCCTGGGAGGGGGGATGGTGGGGAATAGGAAGAGCAAGGGTGGACAGACAGAAAGACGGACAGACCAATGTGAGAGAGATTCTCATGGCGCAGAGGGAGGGAAGGACAGAGATGGGCATGAGTGGTTAGAGAGACCCACAGAGACAGCTGGACAGATGTCAGCAGGGTGCGGGGAGTGGCATGGGGCTGCAGAGGGGATGGACGCAGGGCTGAGGGCTGAGGGGGCAGAGGGAGCGGTGAGCGAGACAGAACAGCAGGGCAGGGAGCATGGGGGTTGTGAGAGCAGGCGGCTGGGGGTCTGCACGGGCGGCCCAGGGTCGGGGGGGGGGCGGCCAGGGCTCCATCTGTGGCCAGCGTGGGGCTGGAGGCTGGTGGATTGGGGGAGGGGCTGTGTAAGCAGCTGGGGGAGCTAGGAAAGCTACAGGATTTGGGGGTCCTGGGCCTGTGGAGAGAGGAACAGAGAAAAGAGTAGCAGGGACCCTGTGGGACCCCACCCACAGCTGCCCACTAAGCCACCCTCCCACAGGAACGGGGCGACCAGAGTGGGAGCAGGAGGCCCCAAGCCCCCGTCTCCATGGCCCTTCCCCAGGGCCAGGCAGATGGCAGTCTCCCTGCGGGGGACCCCGGCCCCTCTGAGGGCACTCCAGGGCCCAGCCAGGCTCCTGCCAGCCCAGCAGCCACCAGGAGGCGGGCACTCCTCAGGGAGCTGGAGGCCCAGGTGCAGGCGGCCTACGGGCAGGTAAAGGGGACAGGGGTGTGGGGCATCTGAGGGCACCATAAGGGAACAGCGGGGACCCCACACTCTAACGGGGGCCCCGGAGGACAGATCCAGGGCAGAGCTCAGGGAGGAGACCCGGGACGTGCATTTTGATGGAGGGCTCAGTGGGTCTGTCAGCTGCCCAGGAGGCTGGTGTCCCTGCCCACTTCTGCCCTCACTGAGCCCTGCATCCAGCCCAGCCCACAGCTCCCAGAGTTGGCCCCCTTCCACTCTTCACCTGAGTACAAGGGCCAGGGGGCTGGTCCAGGCAGGAGTGCTGAGGGCAGCCAGGGTGGGCAGGTGCTCCAAGGTGAGAGCAAGAGTCCTGGCAGGGAGGGGCAGGAACCCCCTGGACTGGGCCAAGATTGCCTCCTCTCAGGATGGGGAGTAGGGGGAGGGTGTGCCGAGTCCATACGGAGGGCTGGTGCTCCAGCCCTCCCCGGCACACCGGGCACCTCATGTCCTCCCCCCAGGTCCAGGCCCTGCTTCTGAAGACATTAAATCTCTACTGACTGGGGGAGATTATGGGTAGGGGTTGGGGGAGAAAGCGCTGGAGAGGGGGTATCTGGAAGACCCTCAGGAGTGAGCACAGGGAGGCTGTGCCTTCCAGGGGGCCTTGGGTCCTGAGTGGCCCCCCTCATCAGCAGAGATGCTCAGAGATAATCCTGGATTAGGACCCAAGCCCCTGTGCCCAGGGCTCCCCGCCTGCCCACCCGCTCCCAATCTTCCCCACAAAACCCTAGGAAAATCCCCTGCAATGCTCCCAGACTCTCACTGGGAGCAGCTGGGGGCTGGCAGGAGCCCACAGCATCCGCTGAGGCCCAGGCCTGGGCTGCCCCCAGGACTCCAGGCCTGGCATGGTTCAGGAGCCCATGGGAAACTGTGCCAAGCGGCCTCGACACCGGGGCCCTAAGGTAGGACGGTTGAGGGGAAGAAGCCAAGGCCAGGAGACCGGGCTGTAGCCTGGAAGGGTCAGGTGGGGTGGGCAGAGCCCCGTGTGAGGGCTGGGCTGGGGTTAGAGATAGAGCACGGCAGGGGGATGGAGGGGCTGGTTCCCACTGCCCTAGACCAATCCAGATTTCCCCGGAGAAGGCCCCAGACTCTAGCCCCTCCCAAGGACCACGGGGCCTTCCCTGCCAAGCTCATCAGGGCCCCCAGCTGCCCATCTAGCTGCCTGTGCCGGCTGCCCCTGCCCTCTGCTAGTCAGAGACGGGACGTGCAGAGCTTGAGCTCAAGGTCCCATGCCGCCACCGGCTTTCTGAGTGACCTTGGCCCAGTCCCTTCCTTTTCAGGGGGCCTCGGTTAGCCCAACTGAACAATAAGGGGATGGACACTTCCAGCCTAGAGTGTTGATGGGTGAGAGCCCTCACTGTCCTGGGCCGGGTTCCAAAGACGGGAGAGGCTGGTAAATGAGGGCGGAGGGGCCGCTACCCCAGCTCATAGCTGGCTTTGCTGCAGGACCACTGGCAGTGGCCCAGCTCCCCCCCAGGGGGCTCCCGCCACAGCCCTGGCCCCGGCCCCGGCCCTGAGGAGCAGGGGGGCCCAGGGCCGGGCATCCAGGGCTACTCGGTGCTCAACAGCCTGGTGGGGCCCGCCTGCATCTTCCTGCGGCCCAGCATCGCCGCCACCCAGCTCGTATGTACAACCGCCCCTGCCTTCGCCTCCTCTCTGCCTCTCCTTGAGTAGGGGGGAGAGGATGGAGTGGGGTCTTCGGAGCAAAGGCACACTGATCCAGGGGGTGGGGCAAAGAAAAGTGGAGACACAGAAACAAGATCAAACAGGGGGAAGACCCAGGAAAGAGAGAGGAGAGGACAGAGAGAGACCCGGAGAACCTCAGAGACAGCCACCAAGGGGGTGGGCAGGGAGGCTGCAGGGCCTCCAGGAGAGGGACAGAGAGAGAACAAGAGACATACAATGACACTGAGGTCCCCGGGGCCCAGTCTGAGGTTCTGCCCGACCCCAGATCCACTTCTGGCAAATGGAGCTCTGAGCCCTACAAGAGGGTGGGGGCGGGAGATGGGCCCTGGGAAAGATCTGGGCAGGGGACAGGGAAGGGGGGCGCCCAAGACACCCAGGCCAGTCAGCAGAAATGGGTAGGAGCAGGTCTGAGCAATGTCAGACAGACCCAGGCCCTGCCCGTCCCATTGGGGGTGCTGAGTGGGGGGCCCCAAAGAACCAGGGGAAGGGGTGCAGGTGCCTGGGTGGTCCGGGGAATTCTTAACCTCTCTGTGCCCCCCAGGACCGGGAGCTGCGGCCCGAGGAGATCGAAGGTAAAGGGTTTTTTAAAAGACTAGAGTCTCCAGAGGGGTGGGCACTGGGTGGGGCCTCAGCTAGTCTCCAGGAGGGGCTAGGGGCAAGGAGGAGGCTGCGGGAGATCGAGGAGATGGGGACCAGACTGAACGGGGAGGGGTTGACAGAGCCCCCAGGTGCCAGTTCCCAGATCTCATCTGCCAGGCGGGTCAAGGGCCACTTTCATATTTGTTCATTCAGCAAACACGTCCTGGGTGCCTACCGTGTGCCTAGCCCTGTGCCGGGAGCACTGGGGAAGGGAGCAGACTGGACAGATGTGGCCCATGTCCTCCGGGGACAGATGTCAATAGTCAACTATGAGTATAAATGGTGCTAAGTGCTCTCAAGGAAATGAACAAATGGGCTGGAGGGGACCCAATGTAGAGGGAAGACTTCCTTGAGTAGGTGACATAAGGACCAGAAGAGGGTACAGTGTTCCAGAACGTGAGCCCCATGAGGTTAGGGATTGTTTCCTTTCCTTTCCCTCCCCTCCCTCCCTCCCTTCCTGCCATATCTCCAGTACCTAGAGCAGAGCTTGGCCCATAGTAGGTGCTCCTTAAATATTTGTTGAAAGAATGAATTAAAGAAATAGCATGTGCCAAGATGCTCAAGTGGCAGAGAAACTGATGTTTACAAGGAGGAAGTGATTAGACCAAGGGAAGAAGGGTGTGCTGGTCCAGGCTGGGGTCCAGAGGGACGTGTGGGAGGAGCTGACCCCACCCTGCCCGGCAGAGCTGCAGGTGGCCTTCCAGGAGTTTGACCGAGACCGGGACGGCTACATCGGCTACCGGGAGCTGGGCGCCTGCATGCGGACGCTGGGCTACATGCCCACCGAGATGGAGCTCATTGAGATTTCACAGCAAATCAGTATGTGCCTCAGACCTGCCCCGCCCCCAGTCCTCCAGAGACCATGGCCATGGCTCAAGCAGCCGGGCTGCCTGGGGAAGGCAGGTACCCACACAGGTCGGCCCCCAGAGCCCAGGACCCTGTTCATTCTCAAGGCACTTTCTCTGCCTCTGAAGAATCTCACCATCCCCTACAAGGTGGGCAGGGCAAGGACCATTATCCCCATTTTTGAGATGAGGAAAGTGAGGCTCTGGAAGCTTAAGTGACTTGGCTAAGGTCACAGAGCCAGGTCATTGGAGCCAGGACTTAAACCCAACCAAAGTCTTCAGGAAAATTAAGAGAAACCACCAGAAAACACAGATGATCCAGCCTGGGCCCCCGCAAGAGGGAAGGGCCCACTTAGTGGGGCAGGGGAGGGAGTCAGACGCCAGGAGAGGCGGGCAGGGGTCCCTGATTGCTGAGATCTCTGACGGGCATGGCCCCCAGGTGGTGGAAAGGTGGACTTTGAAGACTTTGTGGAGCTGATGGGCCCCAAGCTGCTGGCAGAGACGGCAGACATGATTGGCGTCAGGGAGCTACGGGACGCCTTTCGGGAGGTACGGCCACTGGGGCTGGAGGGCAGGCGGGGGGCCGCGGGTCTGCTGTGAGTGAGGCCTGAGTGAATGAATGATTCGATCGGGGACTCAACACCACGACCGACGCCACCACAGTTTGACACCAACGGGGACGGCTGCATCAGCTTGGCTGAGCTGCGCGCAGCCCTCAAGGCCCTGCTGGGGGAGCGCCTCAGCCAGCGGGAGGTGGACGAGATCCTCCATGACATTGACCTCAACGGGGACGGCCTGGTGGACTTTGAAGGTACCACCCGCCGCCCTCCGCGCTCAGTGCCACACGCCCTGGGAGGTTTTTAACAGGCAAGGAAAGAATAAAAGGAGCGTTGTCACTGCGTGCCAGACCCCGGGCTGAGCACTCTATGTCCTCTCCCCGTAAGCACGACAAGAAAGTCAATTCTTAGGAAAGTGTGAATGCTTAGCAAAAGATGTGGATGGAGCCAAGATGTGAAGCCAGGAGAGCTGACCAGAACCCAGTTCTTGCTCTATGCTGGATTCCCACAGAGTGAAAACAAGGGTTAAATAATAATAGGAAGCCAAGGAAAATCAGTATGTAGAAATTCTCCAAAGCAGGCCCCAAAGTTGTTCCTGAGCTTCCTGGCAGCCAAAGCAAAAAGGGAAATAGGTTTAGTTACAAGGGTTTTGTTTTTTTGTTTTTTGTTTTCCCCATAAAACAAAACCCCTCTTCTTAGCCCAAAGGCCTATTCCCTACCAGATTCAGAAGACTCCCTTGCAGGCCCCGCCCTGGACCGCACTCCCTCCCACCTCAAGGCCAGTATATTGGTCTCACAGCGATTGGGCTCCAGAGAGCAGACCTGCAACCTTGGCTTTGTCCTGGCAGAGTTTGTGCGAATGATGTCTCGCTGAGCCTGCACAGAAGCTGGAGGCAGCAGACAGGACTTGGGACCACAGCCAGGAAGCCCCCTGCCTCCAAATGACTCTACCCCTCTCCTTCCTACCCTGCCTGTGTGTAACACCCCGGCCTGCCCTCACCCCCACTGCTTCACCAAGCCCCCATGCCCATCCCTGTCTCTCTAACAATAAAGTATCTTGGGGCCTGGGGAGATGGCTTTTACCTCTCACTTTTGTACCCTGGAGGACCCAGTCTTTGGCCCCCCAAAATTAAGTCCTGGGCTGTAAGACCCCTCGACTGTGAACTCCAGGTGGGCAGGGGCCTTTTCTGGATCCTGGGCCTATCCCAGAACAAGTGTCAGGAAACGCCACCTGCTTCTCCCAGAGCTGGGATGCACTCGGCCCCTCATCCTGTAAAAAAGGCTCCTGCCAGGCCCAGGGCGACACGTGCCCTGGCATGTCCTGCCAGATTCTTCTTCACAAAGTGTGACTTGCGTTGCATCACACTCCTCCTGTTCAGGAACTGGTCGTGACACCCCCCCCCCATTGTCCCCAGGTTAATCCGGCCCCTGGTCCCGGCACCAGAAGGCTCTGGGAGGATGAGGGCTGGCATAGAGTCACACACAATTAGGATGAAGCAGAGGTGGGACTCACCCCCTGGCTCCAGTGCACGGGAGAAGGTGCCTCGGAGTCAGGGAGGCCCCAGGCCTCAGGCTCTCCTAGCTGCAGCAAACACCTGCTCTGCAGAGCGCTGCGTGACCCGCTGTTGTGCCCGCCCGCCAGGAGGGAGGGGAGCCCTGACCTCCTGGTCAAGAAGGGGCGGGAGCTCCGAGCACCCCTGCCTGGGCTTCACCATCGCCGCTGCCCACAAGATGGCCTTGGGTCGGAGAAGGCAGGCGGTTACTGGTGTCCCGCGCAGCCCAGAGCCTGGACACCGAGGTGCCAGGGTTGGCTGCAGCAGCCTCAGCACCACTCACTCGCCCGGCAGATCCCAATTAATCCTAATACTCAATTACGGGATCTCTCCTGCCAGTGTGGCAGGCCTGGGGATGAGGAGGAGACGCCCCGGCCCCACAACTTCTCTGGGAGCTGTGGTCCACTCTCATTCCCACCACCCTCCACCAGCCGGAACAGAGGGCATTTCTGCCTGAGATGTCTGTCCCCTCTGCGGGCGCTGGGGGGTAGTATGGAAGTGTGTCGGAGGAAGACTAGAATCCCACCGCCCCCTGGCTCCCAGCCTGGCAGGCTCTGGGGTTGGGGTGGGGGTGGGAGGCGATGATGGGATGGTCTTAATTGGCTGCCGTGTATCTGCTGGCACCAAACGTGCCCTTCTACCCCAAAAACGCTGCTGGCCCGGAAGATCCCAACAAGGTAACTGCTGGAGCTGGGAGCAGGGCCGGGAAGGAACAGTGAGTAGGCAGAGACTGTGCCAAGTTAAGAGCCCCTTCTCTGCTTAAAGGGGGCACCTGCCACCCAACCCCAGCGACTGCTGCCAGGTGAAGCAGGCTGGAGCTCTGAGATCTTCTGATTTTCCGAAAGAAGCTGGAAAGTCAGATTTACATTAAGTCCCCTTTAAATAGTCTGAGTACTGATGATAGCATTCAATAAGGTGAATAAACCTTAAGTGTACAGCTCATGAGTTTTACATGTGTGTGCGCTCAGGTAACCGTCACCCACATCATGATATTGCATCCACTTCTTTTATTTAGAACAGTTCTAGGCTTACAGAATCATCCTGAAGATAGTACAGGGAGTTCCTGTATACACTCCACCTCAGCAGCTTCTCCTGTGTGTTGTTAGTCAAGGTTCTCCAGAGAAACAGAACCAACAGGAGATACCTCTGTGTGTGTGTGTGTGTGTGTAGTGTGTGTAAAGATATTTATTGCAAGGAACTGGCTCAGGTGATTATGGGTGCTGAGCAGTCCCAAGATTTTGCAATCAGCAAGCTGGAGACCCAGGAGAACTGGGGGTTCGGTTCCAGTCTGAGCCCGACAGCCTGAGAACCAGAAAAGTTGATGGTGTCAGTTCTAGTCTGAGGGCAGAGGACTGATGTCCTAGCTCAACAGTCGGGCAGGTGAAGCTCCCTCTTACTCAGCCTTTTTGTGCCATTCGGGTCTTCAACTGTTTGGATAAGGCCCACCCACCATGGGAAGGGCCATATCTTTATGCTGCCAATTCAATGGATGATAATTGCACCCGGAGACACCCTCACAGACACACCCAAAATCATGTTTGACTAACTATCTGGGCACTTGTGACCCAGGCAAGTTGACACTTAAAATTAACCATCACACACTATTAATATCTCACATTAGAAAGGTACATTTGTCACAGTTAATGAACTAAGACTGACACACTGTTATTAACTAAAGCCCATATTTTATGCAGATTTCATCATTTTTTCCCTGATTATCCTTTTGCTGTTCCAGAATACCATCCAGGACACCACATTACATTAGACATCATGTCTTCTCAGACTCCTCTTGGTTGTGATAGTTTCTCAGACTTCCCTTGTTTCCTTATGATCTTGACAGTTTTAAGTACGACTGGTCAGATCTTTTATAGAACATCCCTAAATTGGGATTTGTCTGATGTTCCTCTCATTAGTCTGGGGTTATGGGTTGGCAGGAGGATGACCACAGAGGTCAAGTGCCCTTCTCAAGCCATCCAATTAAGGGTGCATACTATCAACATGACATCACTATTGATGTGGACCTTGATCACCAGGCGTGAGGTAGTGTCACATTTCTACACTATAAAATTACTTTTTCTTTCTCCCGTTATGTACTACACTCTCTGGAAGAAAGTCACTATGTACAGCCCACACTGAAGGGGCAGGGGTTATAACCTACCTTATTAAGGGCAGAGTATCTACATAAACTACTTGGAATTCTTCTATATAGATTTGTCTCTTCTCCCCCTTTATTTATTCAAATATATATATATATTTATATTTGGGCTCATAGGTATTTATTTTGTACAAGTTATAATCCAACACTTTAAATTTTCAAATCGCTCCAGCTTTGGCCACTGGGAGGCCTTTCAGCTGGCTCCTGTGTGCCTTTGGCATATACCCATCATGGTGGCATTTGGGGTTTTGGGGTTTTTTGTTTTTTGTATTTTTAGCATTTTCTTACGTTTTGGTACTATAAGATGCTCTAGGATTATCTTGTATATTTTTTGTCACGTTCTGCGTTCCCTCCTGGGATCCCCTGACCTCCTCAATGATTTCTTTAATTTTGCATAAAGTTTACTCTTTATGACAAATGCTTAATATCTTGTATTCACCATTACAGTATCATACAAAATAGTTCCACTGTCTTAAAAAAAAAAAAAAAAAATCCCGTTTTACCCATTTAATTGCACCCCTCCCCACCCCTGGCAACCAGTAATTTGTTTACCTTATGTATACGTCTGTCTTTTCTGGAATGTCAGACTTTTCAGAGTGGCTTCTTTCACTTAGTAAAATGCCTATCTGTGTCTTTTCATGGCTAGATGATTTCCTTCCATTGCTGAATAAATAGTCCATTTTGTGGATATATCACAGTTTACTTGTTCATTCACCAATTGAATGCCACCTCCTCTGGGAAGACTCCTGTGATGTCACCAAGCAGGCTCCTTCCTCTAAGTTCCAATGCATCCTGTACCAGTCTCCACACTTACTGTACAGTGTGTCTTTGCTTTCCTGTCTGTCTCTCCTTGAGACTAGGAGCTCCCTGAGGACAAAAGCCATGGCCAGTTTATTTCTATATCACCAGTGTTTGGCACAGGGCCTGGGATGGAGGATGGAGTCAGAAAATGTCTGCTGGGGCGCCTGGGTGGCTCAGTCGGTGAAGCGTCTGCCTTTGGCTCAGGTCATGATCTCAGAGTCCTGGGATCAAGCCTCCCATCGGGCTCCCTGATGCTCAGCGGGGAGTCTGCTTCTCCCTTTCCCTCTGCTCCTCCCACCTGCTCGTGCTCTTGCTCTGTCTCTCTCAAACAAAATAAAATCTTTAAAAAAAGAAAGAGACAGAGAAAGAAAGAAAGAAAATGTCTGTTGGATGAATGAATGAATGTCCTGGAGATGAGGAAAATCTACAGACCCGGGGCATGAAGGGTACACAAGGCCAGTGAAGTTTTGAGGAGAAGTAGCCTGGCAGAAAGGGTTACTGTTTGGAGGAGAGTCTAAGATCTAGGGTTGTGAGGAATGAGGTTTGAGGGGAGGGGTCTGGATGGAGAAATGGACAGTAAAGAGGACAATGAAACAAGCTCCTTATGAATATTCATTTATCCACACAACAACCCTGTAAGATAGTTATTATTAACGTCCGCATCTTAAAGATGGGGAAACCCAAGCATATTGGGGTGAGTAACTTGCCCAAGAGGAAATCGCTGATGGGGGTGGTATGAGATTCGAACCATCAGCCTAACTCCAATCGGTGCTCTCACCCAAGATCAGTCTGGTACAGGGCCCGGCGTGCGGTGAGTATTCAACGGAGGTGAGCGTTCCTGCTGTTGTCAGTATGAGGCACAGGCTCGGAGTCTTGGGGGACAGGTTGAGGGGTCTTTGAGGTCGCCTTCGGACCTAACATCAGCCTGGACCGGAGGACGAGGCAAATTGGTAGAGGCGCGGTGGCCGCGTTGGTGAGGGATCCGTTGCCATAGGAACAAACGAAGGCTTTAGGAGGGCGCATGCGCAGACCGGGGGAAGGTTGTTGAACCGGTGAAAGGTGACGTAAAAGCGCACGGGGTGAGACGCAGGGCTCCGAACGTCAAAGCCCTGCGTCCTCCGGCACTCAGAGCGGTGGAAAGGCGCGCTCGGTGGTCGCGGCGGCAGCGATAGCAGGCCCAGCTGGCCCGACACCAGGCAGTGCGAAGCTGACGTGCAAAGCAGCGCGAGTGAAGCGTCAGGGCGACGCCCGCGCCGGGAAGACCCCTCCGCGCGAACCGCGGCCGACCAGACCCGGGTCCCGGCTTCCGAGGCTCCGCCTCTCGGGCCCTGGGACTAATCGGATTGAGAGCGCGCCGGCTCGGAC